AATCGATATTATAGTTAAGACATTTTCTTTCTTTTTTTTTCTTTTCTAATTTCAAATAAAGGAAGTCAATAATTTTCATTTGTAAAATTACATATATATATATACAACGAATATTATATTATACAAAATTGTAATTGAAAATTTAATTGAAACATCGTATAGATAAATAATGAAATAAATAAAGGGATAGAAGATCATATTGAGACGTGGATAAACGTGTCGATTTGTTTGAAAAACAAAAAAAAAAATATTCCTCGGTAGCACCTGCGGTGTAACTTCTCGTCTGTGTATGTTCAGTAACTTCTACGCTTAGGTATGCTGCATGTTGTTGTCTCGGCTTCGTCCTCAAAGGTAATTCTGTTCATCGTTCACCTGCGAAGCGGCAGGTGTGTCCCTTCCGAAGGTTACAATTGTACCTCCACCAGTTACGTGCAGTTATTACCAAAGCCTTCTCGTCTTTTCTCGTTATCAAATATTATTTTTTTACTAAGAAATATCATGCCGACGTTTATTTATTTGTAAAACAACAAATACTTATATGTATCATTGCCCTGTTATTACACATGTGTGGTATAGTACAAGTTTGGTCAAAAGTTGTTAGATAATTTTCATTATTTTTTCGAGTTTAGTTTTGTAATTATAAAATCATCTACAAATCATTGGCACATATGACATAATTTAATTAAATTTGATAGAATATTTTTTCCATATTCTTATCAATTTTATATATATTAATATTCTTAATATCAATTGACAAATTTTAAAACAGATATTGAAACAAAAGGTGATTCAAATTTTGAAGTGTATTCATAGACGTATATTCAAATTTGAAAAGTTACAAAGAAATGGAATTAGAGAGAAGAATCGATAGGCACTTTGTAATCGATTGGTAGAAACGAATGGGATCGCGTGTATTGTTTAAACGAAAGATAATGTTTATTCGTTCCATCGGATTAAATCGATTGTCTTCTTTGCTTAGTAGACTCTTATTGGAATTTCGTTGGAAAGGGAAGTGGTTTATTGTTCCAACGCTTTTAGTTCATCGATCGATCAATAAACCTTCCTCTCGTAGTTTCCATTTACAAATTCCTTGACAACGGTGTCATGTATAGTTTCATACACATATATGCATGAACATTGGCATTTATATACGTATGTAAAATATGTCAAATCGTTTTCATTCAAGATTATAACTTAAGATTACGACGATCAATATCTCTTTCTAACATTTTCTAATCTTTTTCTTTTCTATATCATTTATGTGTATATGTGCGTATAGTTGCCATATGTCGACTCATCACGTATGTCGCGTATCTTATCAAGACGGTTCACAACATTCACACATACACACACACACACACACACACACACATTCAAGCGTATAAGCTGGTAACAAAACGCGTTAGGAACGAGTACACGTTTGGAATTAATTTCAAAGGAGAATTGTTTCTTCAACATGAGGACACGCGTATGTAACTATACGTGCTTCAACCAGGTACAACTGTTTTTACACTTGCAAAATTTCTTCTTCTTCTTCTTCTTCTTGTTTTTTTTTTCTTTCTTTCTTTCTTTTTTTCGTATGTATTTTTTTATACTATTCAATGGCTAACAAGTAGCCTATTTGGAAAGGCAAAGAATACTTGAATAGTATTATTCCATGCAGAGTACATAGGTGTATTCAATCAGACAAACGATTGCATAAAAAAAAGATGCATTGAGAATACAGAAAAAAAAAAAAAACAAATGTGATTGTAAGCAAACGTACAAATGAAATGGAAGAAATATAACAGGAGAAAATAATAAAAATATCATAATAAAATAAGCGTGAATAGAAATTCTATGGGGAATAGACGAAAGGGCGAAAGAAAGAATAAACAAATTTGCGAAATCGGATTACGAGTAGGAAAAATGCGATTGAAAGTAAAAAAAAAATAAAAAAAAAATAAAAAATTGAAGAAAGGGATAATAAAAAGAAAAGATTTCCAAATGAAAGAACTGGGGGAATGTAGGGAAAATAACAAAAGTGATAAAAATCAATATAGAAAATGAAATTGAAACGATGTTGATTGAACGAAAGAAAAATGAAATTTTTGCGTTTGAAATTGAACGAGTAGAACTCGCGTTGCCTGCGCAAACTATGCACGTCGTTTTATAGGGTTGTTCATCCCGTGTGAACGATCTTAACGAGTTGAAACAACTTTAATTAAGCGCATTACGCTAGACCGACCAGTTGAATTTAGCCTATCGCCGGTCTAACATAAGCGACACGAGGAAATATAACGTCTCGTAGTTTTATAACTTAAGATCAATTTTCTCTAACAGGGGGTCTCCTATAACCAGAACAAATATAAAAAGAAAAAAAAAACAGTACATTTGTACGAATAAAAGAAAATGATAAGTGACAATTTTTGAAATAATACAGGGTGAGCTAATAGTATAGTAAGTTCTAAAGACTTATACTATTAATAATGAACATTTAGTTAAAATGTCTTGAAGGAAATTAAATAGAGTAAATTACCTTTTCATAAACTTTTGATTCCCCATTTTGTAATATTAAAAATAAACACACAAAAAAATGGATAATATAAAGAAGCAGTTGAATCTTGTTCGAGGTTAATAATATGAAAATTGTGAGGTAGAAGAAATGTTGAGTTCAACGGCAAGAAGACGTCGACTTTTGCAATGTTTGCAAGCTCGCAAGATAAGCACCTGTTATCACGAAAGAAAAAGAAATACATGAAAAAGAAGTCAGAATTTATGAGGGAACGAGCTGCTGGCCTCTTTCTCTCCCTCTCTCTCTCTCTCTTTCTTATTTTTTTTTTTTTATTCATGCCGATTACTAACACTCTCTGTCTTCTCCCTTTTGAAACTGTACACACATCCACATATGTACATTCACGCGTACGCATACATGTTTCTATATATATATATATATGTATATACTTGGAACTCTGAGATTTACCTTGGTGAATTACGAGGTCCCAAGATCGAGCATACGTCTCGAGAAATCGACCTAAGTTGTCATTTTATTATATGGTCATGTAGGGCACGTATATACAGTCAGTCAGTCTTTCTTTCTTTCTTTCTCTTTCTTTCTCTTAATCTTTCTCTCTCTCTCTCTCTCTCTCTCTTTCTTTCTTTCTTTGACTACTCATCTGGATTACATCTTCTCGTATTCCATTGGCGGGTAATTTAAGTCGCACGATTAAGTCAGCGAGCATCGTTCGTTGGGGTACATCGATGTAAAAGGCATGGAGATGCACGAGAAGGAAGCCGGTTTTACTAATCGTAAGTACGTATTCGATAAATCGACTCGTTCGATCGATTAGTCTCAGATTTTGATCGTAAATCTCTTTATATCTTCTTGTTGGTTTTTTTTTTTTTTTTTATCGTCTTAAAAATATCACTTATTTTAAAATATCATGTATTTTTCTTTCTTTTTGTTTTTATTTTTTTTTATTTTCATTAAAAATATTATTTTATAATATATATATATATTTATTCATGATGAGACATATTGTAAAATGAAAAACAATGATTAAACCGGTATAAAGAGAAAAAAAAATTGTGTAGAATATTTCGTATAAAATTGAAAAAAAAAAAAAACGATATGTTCTTCATATTTTTCTCACGTGTCGAAGAACGAGGTTGAATCATTGCACGCGTTCATGGCACACGCGAGAAATACCTACACGCCTTCTAATTTATCTTGACCCGTGACTCCGAAGACCGAAGTCTGCGAAGAAAGGATGAGAAGAAGATTAAGAAAAAATGAACTAAAAAATAATAAAAAAAAAAAAAATAAAAAAAAAAGGAACGACCGTCTATCGGTGGTTCATGTGAGAAGAGAGAAGAAGGAAAGAGAAGACCGGTTTTTCATCCCCCTTCTTTTCTTTTTTCTTCTTCGTATTCGTTTAAACCTTTTCTTTTTTTTTTCTCTCTCTCTCTCTCTCTTTCTCTTTTCCCACGAGCCTTGGGTATTATAAGGCGCGGGTGAAATCGATTTGACGCGACGAAGTCGTGATTTCTATCGCAGACGCAAACATTATAACAACAACAACAACATATATATAAAACAATAATGATACCAATCATGATCCACCGTGTTACAGAATTTTTATCTAATATAATTATTACCAAACACAAAAATTTCATGTACATAGGGTACTTATATGAGTCGTTCAGAAGCCAATGCGTTTAAATTCATTTCTTTTTTTTATATTTTCTGATTTTTATCAATTTTAATAGAATAATTAATTTTTTTGTTTTTTCATTATTAGAGGATTTATACCCGTTGCTTCATTTTTATTATATATATATATACAAATTACGTGTTACGTTGTTTGTCCGCAATGAACTCCTAAACTACTGAACTGATTTGAATAAAATTTTGCACACTGTGTGCAGTTTCGTCCAACTTAAAAGATAGAATAGTTTATATCTCCATTTATATTCGCAATATTATTTTATTAATTGCGAATTATTTGTTTATTACTAACAAAGAGTCATGATTATCTCTGTTAGTTCTATAAGATTCTAACAGATGGCGGTATAAGGTTATTCGTTGACTTAAAGACGTGTGTATCGGACTGATTTTTCAATTATCAAAAATTCTAATTTCTTTTTAAGATGCTACTATTGTTCTAATAAATACTGAAGTTTTTATTTGTACGTTCTGTACAAATAAATATTTTTATTGCAAAGTCTACTCTTTGAAAAAAAAAAAAAAATCAAAAGAGACTTTATATACTGAACTGATCAAATTAAGAAACAACAAGAAGTTTTTAAAATCAATTAAATAACATTAATTTTCTGGACTTAATCGAATTGAACTTCTGTGTGAGCAATTCATATGTGAATAAAAATGATATTTCATGGTGATTTTAAATAATTCAACAAAATATATTTATCATCACACTCCTAAACGCATTTGTATCAAATAAAGAAAGATAACTTTTTATGCTATTCTTTTTTTTGTTTTTTTTTTTTGTTATTTACAGCAATGGCGAACGCTGGTCTTGAAGTACGAGAAGCTGGCCGGGCGTTACGAGTTCAAACGGAAGCACCGCATCTTGTGTCCACGGGAAGCGGACGATTGTCGACTGCAGTGACCTTGCATCCTTTACCTGAAGGTAAAACCAAGTTACATGCATTTTATATACGAGCTATATAATTCTTTACTACTGAAAATAATTACTAAATTGTAACGTCATAAATAATAGCATTATATTACATAGGAAATGTGAAACGACGTTAACTAAATTTATGTGTGTATCAACATTTATTTAAAATAAAAAGATATATATATATAAATAAAAGTACGATTCACGTAGAAGATAATTATAGAATAATGATTAATTATCATACCACACATAGATATGATATACTAAGAATTTCTACAAGAAACAATCATAAACAAGTTGCTCCATCAAAATCGTTTATTTGTAACTTCTCGTATATAGTATCGATAGTACAATGATGATTAAGCTAAAGGGTTTCCTTTAAAAAAAAAAATGGAATGGGGTGGAGGGGAGGGGATGGGAGAGGAGGGCAGAAGGAACGATAATTCGTAAGGAAAACGATCGCTCGTTTTCTAAAGACTCTCGATGACGTTGCACAAAAAAGAAAATGAAATCCCATGGTGTTTCTCGATTGACCATCTACATCTTCTTTGTCTCTTTGTTTTTCTTTTTCTTGTTCTCTTTCTCTTTTTCTTTCTCTTTGGAAGGCGTGTCACCTAGAGATAAATTCTTTCGATAGAGTCAATTTGTGGGGGGAAAATAATCGCGTGTAGTAGTAGGAACAAAGTGATATCATCTCGATGAGAGAGAGAGAGAAAAGAAATTAAAAAAAAAAAAAAAAAAAAAGAGAAAAAGGGGTGGAATAGGAAGAAGCGGAGGAGGAGAAAAGGAGGAGGAGGAGGAGGAGGAGGGGGAGGATGTCTGAAAAAAAATCCACGTATATAATAGCGCCGACAGATAAGATTAACTTTCGTAATCGTGGTACGCGTACGAAGATTTTATTTTTGCTCACGCTCGAGTTGCATTTCTATTTTTTTTTTCTTCTTCTTCTTTTCCTTTCTTTTCTTTTTTTTTGCCTATTCAAGGATTTAAATTGCAACAAAAATCTTCATTTTAGTTAGTTGACTTTGCAAATATGATGTCATCGGTAAAATGACATCATACGCAGGATAACGCGCGTATATATTTTCGTATTAATTAAAATTGTAAATAATAACGTAAACCACTTTATGTGGTTTAATAACGCAAAATATCATCATTTTTAAAGAAAATTATTAGAATATAGTAATAATTAAGGGGAAAAAAAATAAATCAATTGATATTATTATTAATGTGGCAAATAATCATTTTGTTTTCTCGTATTTTTAGATAAAATTAAATTTGATAAGATGTTTATTTTTTTGTTAGAAATTTCATTCATATCTGTTCAACTTGAAATACTTTAATCATTTCTAATATATTATTCGATAATATTAGACAATTATATTTCACGCTCACTTTCATATATACCAAATACTACTCGAAATATTCTAATCTTTTCTAATCTATCATCGTGTAATATTTTCAAGGACTGATAACTAATAACAAATATAAAAAGAGAAAGAAAGAGAGAGGAGTGAGTTTGAAATTATCATCCAGCAAAATTAAATAATTAGTTACCACCGTCGGGAAGATAATTTTGAAGAGGGAGTAAGGATTTGATTAGGGTCGAATTTTCGAGGGACGAACGAATAAGGTTCTTTAATTTGTTAATTTGATATCTCTAGACTAGCTCAAGATTAATCTCCGTGGATGTTGTGTGTGTACATAGTGTGTTGTTCAGTGTTGTATCTGTGTAAAAAAAAAAAAACGCGATTAAATTCTTAAACTTGATCATGTATGTATTACATAAAGTAGAAGTCAAGCGTTTTCTCCTTGCTTCTTCTTCTTCTCCTTCTTCTTCTTCTTCTTCTTCTTTTCGTATACATACATACAGTGTTTCCTTCCCTTTTCGAACTCTGGTGCTCGACTACATATTCCTGAAATAATCGAGCTCCGCTAGAAAGGCCGTGTGCCGTTGCCGTTGCCGTTTGCCGTTCGAGTTCGCCTCATCGTTGAAATATTCCCTTTTAAAAATACATCTTGTAAGATGTTACGCTTTCGTCGTCTAGTCATCCGTGTACTTTCGACAAGATGCATTCAAAGTTTAAACGTCAAAAACCGGAAGGAAGTTTGACTTGAAAAAAAAAAAAGAAATAAAGAAAACAACGAAAGAGTAAAATCTATAATATCGTTTGCATAATTGAATTTTTTTTTTTATTTATTATTAAATAATTAAAACACACGAGTACAATCGAGATTGATATTAATTTTTATCAAATAAATTCATCGTAAATTTGATCTTGTTAAACAATAAAGAAAATTAATGATACTTGTAAGATATATACAAGATTGAAAGTATACAAATGTATTTCAAAATTGATCGAGAGTGAAGTTTAAAAAGAAGAATTTTAAAATAATGATAATATCGCATTCAAATCAATTCATTCTCAATGTTGAAAGACATTTTATCGAATTCATCATCAAAAGCCATCTTCTTAGCATCCGAAAGGGGACAGAGAGAAAATAAACGAATAAATAAAATAATAATAATAATAATAATAATAATAATCAAATAAAAGAAAGAAAATAGAAAGAAAGTAGGGTGTTGCATGCGGGAGGTGAGGGCGCTTTATACAGCGCGCCATTTCTGAAAGAGCGTTCTTCGATGCACGTGCTTTCATGCGCGCGTATAAATTGCTCGTACGGGAGGGTATATAAATGGCGTAAAGACGCTTCTTCTTCGGTCAGAAATGAAGGGAAGAGGCGGAAGAACGAGAAGAAGAAGAAGAAGAAGAAGCAGAACAACAACAACAACGAGAAGTAAAAGAAGGAGAAGGTGGTGTTGGTGGTGATGATGGTGGCGGTGGTGGTGATGGTGGTGGTGGTGGAGAAACGGAGGACACTAACCCAGCAAGAAGAGACCATGCTGGCTCATAAGTGCATACCACTCTCTCTCTTTCTCTCTCTCCCTCTCATTCTTGTTCTCTGTTGCTTTCTCAGTCACTCTCATGCCTCTTTCTTCAAGTTGTACAGCAGTACTTAAATATAGTCGCTTCGTGGAGAGCAGGGCACTCGCAATATAAATTATTGCATGAGTCAATCCTCAAAGTGCGCTCTTTCTTCCTCTTTTACCTCTTTACTTACTCATTCTCTATCTCTATCACTACTCTCTACGTTACTCTTACTCCTTATCTTTCTCTCATAATCGTTTATGTGCACTTTCCCTAGCTCTCCTATCTCTATACGTTTTTTTATTCTAATTTTCTTCATATATAATGTTTATGTATCCTCCCCTTTATTATAATATTTCGCGTCAAGTATTACAATTTTATTTCATTATGAATTTAGTGTATTTATTTATTCTTGTTTCTTGTTTTTTTTTTTTTAATAATGTTTTGCATATATTAATTATTTTTTCTTTTTATTTTCTGCTTTTTTTTTCTTCCCTCTTTTTCATTACACCTTCGTGTTGTTCTCTTCATCTATTTAAATTATTATACAAATTCATGTTTAATATTATTTCCTATTTTAGTCTCTCTTTTGTATTTACTTTTCCTTTTTGTATGTGTGTGTGTGTGTGTGTGTATTTTTTTACTTTTTTTTTTTTAATTTGTATTTTTAAGTAAATCCCAGATACTTCTTCGGTCTATTCTTTTTCAAAACTTCCAGAATATAATCCCTAAACTCGCTTGTTTCTCGTTTCCTTGGAAAAACATTGGGAAATGGTAACGGATAGTCATGGAGTAGTAGTTACAAACAGTGAATCATCCTAATCCAAGAAGTATTTTCTAGTATGAGATGAGAGGTGATTCCACTTGAAGATATTTCATTCCCGTTTCCTTCGAAAGATTCATCGAATCTAACCGTTTCTTCGATCTTCTTCCCCATCTTTTAATTCCCTTCCATTCATTTGACCCTAATTACTTTCATCATATAAATAAAATATACATTATATAAGATGATTCAAGTTGAATAGATGAATATTTGTATGAATTCTTTTATTTATTTCAAAGTTACGAATTTGTTAATACACAACCTCTGTATACTTAGAAATTAATTGATTGGCCCCCTTTTTTTTCCCAAGATCTAATAATCATCGTTCCTTAGCTCACTTTTCAAGTAATTCTTTCTTGTTATCTGACAACCGTGTCTTCCATCCATCTAAAGTCATCTTTATTACGCAGCCCGATGAGATCCAATTGCGTTGTGTAATCATCATAGTTTAAACGAGACGAAATAAACAAGATATAGCATCGAGCTAGAAAGTCAATTAGTTAAGTTCTTCAAATAACAAAAAAAAAAAAAAAAAAAAATATATATTGTAAGACCTAATACAAAAATAATTAAATTATTGCACACATTAGGATGAATTGATACACACTTTTATTTCCTTGTTTTTAATTTAAATAAAAATAAGTTTGATCGAAAGAAAATGTTTTCCACGTTAAGCTAGAAAATTTCTTAACCCACCACCCACGTATATTACATTGTAAATATTAAAAAAAAATATATATCAAATATAATAGAAATTATTTTATTTTATGATTGCATAAATTTAAAAATGAATATCGTACACAAAAGAGCGAGAGTAAATTCTTGAACTGGAAGTATGAAGCTCGTTCGAATACAATAGGGACCAAAGCGAATTGGTTTGTCAGGAAGTTGCTTCCTGTTTTTAATTCTCTTTCACTCTTTCTCTCTTGTATGCACCTCGCTGATTATCGTACGAATGTGTTGTGTTGTTTGTGTGTCTCTCTCTCTCTCTTTTTATTTCTTTAGTCTTTTTTTCTCCTATTCATTTTGAGTAGAATGAATAGAGAGAGCTTGTAACCTGTACACAAGGTGTATAGTACACAGTGGTGTTGTACTATGTATCTTCACACAATCGATAGATACAAAGATAGATGATAGATAAATAGATAGATAGATAAAGAGAGAAGACTGGTTGCTAAGTATACATGGTCTCCATGTGTACTATTGTGCAACCAAGTGGAACTTGTCTACCCCTTTTACCGATACAAACAATGAACCGTTCAAGTAAATAGTCACAATGCTGGAAAATGAGAAGATTAAAAGCTTTCGATTGTACTTTTCTACCCTTGTTGATTATGCTGAAAGATCAAGAAGATTATATCGAAAGGAATATCTTTTATTTTTTTTTTTTTTTTTTCACTATTATAATTTTCATCAGAAAATACTCTTTTCAAATAATCCTTCTTGATCAAACTGGACGTAGAATATTAACAAACAAACAAAAATAAGAAATAATCGAGAACGAATCTTTGTAATAATTTACAAACAAACAAATCGTCGAAATAAAAATAAATAGATGTAAAATATTATTGCCAATTAATCATTCAATAAAAATACACAATGATTTATTAATTAATAATTGCAAATAGGAACGTAGTTCGAAGAGGACAAAGACATTGTGGAACGAGTTGTCCTGTCAGATTCCAAGTAACTCAAAGGTTCTCCCTTAAGTCAGGGATATATTTTAGACATGGCGGACGGGTTTCCAAAAAGACTGAAAATGCATGGAAAGAGAAGGAAGAAGACAGAACATAGAGGGGTTGAAGAGAGAAAGAGAGAGAGAGAGAGAGAGAGAGAGAGAGAGAAAGTAGAACCGCGCCAAAACTAAATATAACTGCAGTCCTTTGTAGAATGCACTGCGATTTACTCGCGTCTTGCGAGATCGGAATACGCCGCGGACTCTGAATTATACTCTCGGGCACACTGCACGAGAATCTTTTTCATTCTTCTATTTTCTCGGACGATTACCGAACTAAAGTAAGTGTGAATCCTGGTGGTGCCCTCCGAGGCGCCGATCTAATCTTGGATGTCCAAGAAATATAAGAACAAAATGTAGAAATAAATGTCTGAATCATAACATACTAGGGGTGGGGAGGGGGGGACGACGACATTTTTATTGAAGACGAAAGATAATCGGTTATTTTCAAAAAGAAATAATAATAAATTAGCCCTTTTAAGTTAGAATAATAATAATAATAATAGCAGATTAATCAGAAATATCGTTATTCCATTGGTTGAGAACTACTGAGAGACATCGATTACTGTTAACGCTTGTGCCTCTTTCATGTAACGAGGTGTAATGAATAGAACCTAATTCTCTCTCTCTCTCTCTGTATATGTAACTATATGTTCCGTCATAGAATTGTGGGTGCAAACGGTGAGCTCAGAGTTCCAAGGATTTGCTAATTTAGAAGGGAAAATAAATTCGAGTGGTTAACTTTGATCCTCGTTTCGGTTCAAATAAACATTGAGAGCTTGGTAGTTTAAAGATCAAGCGTTGAAAGATCTTGCACTTGAGAATTCACCTACTATTATTAAAGTTCTACTGTATGTTGATAATTTAAAATGTAATTATTGTTCAAATGATGAAACAATGCGTTGTGTGCGCATATGTAAAAATCTGATAAGTTTTTTTTTTGTTCTTTGATACAGGTAGAATTACTCTTGGATCGAACAGGGATGCTGATATTCCATTGGCTGGTACAGGAGTTGAATCCATTCATTGCGCGATTGAAAACAATAACGGTGTGGTCACTCTTCATCCCATAAATGGAAACACGGCTATCGATGGTGTCCCGATAAATTCATCTGTGCGACTTGTTCAAGGTAAGACCTTGTACCACTGTATGTGTACCACCGACGTACCAAATTTGTCTCGATCCAAAAGAAAGTCTCGAAAGAAGGATACTTTTCAAACGTTCACTCTCACTTTTCGATTACCCAAGTAATATAAAAAATAAAAAAAAAACAATTGTTCGATCTTTTGGAATAATTTTATTCTCTTGAAATATTTCATACATATAGAAATTGTATTTATTTCTTAGATAAATAGATAGATAGATAGATAAATTTTATTAGTATTGACACATGACAATGTAATAACAATAAAAATCACATTTAAAATACTTCTTCCTTGTCGTGTGTTGTAGGTTGCATGCTGTCGATTGGCAGATCAAATTACATGCGCTTCAATCACCCTGCCGAGGCCAAGCAACTCCGATCGGTACTGCCACAATCAAGAATTTCCATGGCACCCATAAGCTTCTCCCTACCTGACAATCAACTTCAGGAGGGCTGTCACTTGGAAAGAAAGCCACCGGTTGCGCCAAGAAAGTCACCAAGGAATTCATGTTCTGACGATGAAGTTGGCTTCCTTGGGAAGTTAACGAAATTTGAGATGTTGTCGAAGCAAAACAGAAACAACTGCGTATCGCCGAAAGTATTTCCAGCAGGTGGTATTACGACCAACGTTCCGGCCGATCAGATTTTAGGACACTCGAGAACACCGACTTCCTCGGCAAGGAACAGTTCCAATTTGTCGAGCAACAATAATTCGCCGCTTCAAAATTTGACGAATTTAGACAGAAGCCGTTCGAATACACCGTCTTTCGTTACGTCATCCCCAAATAATCATTCCTTCGAAGACAATCGTCAGTCAACAGAAAGTAATAAAAATCATAGCAGATCTAACACGCCTAATCAAAACTCACCGATGTTAGATCACAATCGTTCATTGCCTTATCAAAACTCACCGACCCTAAATCGTAATCAAATACAAATGTTCTCGACGGCTGAAACTTATTTAAAAACTTACAAGCCGTATTATCGCGAAAATAAAAGTGAGAACGATCAAGGTTCTCAGAATTATGTTATGCCACGAAATTCAGCCTCTCGTACGGATCTAATGTCTCGTAGTATGATGTGTCAGAGATCTAATGATTTGGATGATCTCGGAGTTGGTAGGGAATTTGACATGAGTCAGAGTTTGATTGTCACCAAAACCACTACGGAATATTTACAATTGGAGAAATTTGGATCAAATTCAAACCTTTGTAATGGTTCGGTGACACCAAATCGTTGTAACAATAGCGTCAGTAGTAACAACACCACCAGTGGTGTAATTAGGAACGCAGTTGGTCCAAATTTTGGTTCGAGTCCAAATATCATTAAAAGGATTCAACCACCGAGTCCAGCGTTTAATCGTAATCCCAAATACAGTGGTGAACAAAATAGGCCATATACTCGTGTTAAAAGTCCAACACCGAGCATAGGAAGTGGTTGTTCGTTGGAGGAACTTCGTGAACGGCAAATCGATGCTGAAAACAAACGTCGTGAGGCTGAGAATAAAAGAAAAAAGGCGCAAGAAGAAAGATTAAGAGAACAGGAAATTGAAAGACAAGAGAAAATGAGATTGGAAGAAATTTTGGCTATGTGCGCGGAATACGAAAGACAAAGTACCCTCGATAAACCTAGACAACCTAACAGGTAATTCTTATTCATAATTATACTCATTATTTTAATGACAATTTGAAATACGATTGTATCGTTTCACTTGGAACAATGATTTTCTTTTCACAGAATCAAAACGAATGGTTCTCTTCCACGAGACAAACGATTAGGAGGCGGCTACGCATCACCGTACGAAAGCCCAAAAAGTCCATCGAAGAATCAACCACATTTTTCTTTCGAATCCCCAAAACAACAACCGTCAACGAATAATTACGAAAACGTGACAGTACAAAATTCCAAAATGATCTATCAAAATAATACTTCACCCATCGATCAAAAAGATCAAATACCACAAAAATTGGATAGTCCAATAATTCAAGATACAGCGATTCAACAAACTATACCAAATCATAATAACAACAATAATCAAGCTACCACCACCAAGTGGGCGAATAACACAAGTCATAGTTTTTCTAATTCGATTTCACAAGCCCGTACACCAAATTACGAAAATATCACTTTCGATCGTACCGCAGTTAATAACAATAATAATAATAATAATAATAATAATAGTAACAATAACAACAACAGTGACGAACGTGAAAGTACAAAAGAAACTTCGACTTATGGAACGATTCAATTAAACGGTACGAAAATTTCGACTCAACAGCAAACAACTTTGGCACAAAATTACGAAAGATTCGTGTCTTCAAATGGCAATTTGAGTTTGTACGAGAACGTAATCGTGTCTTCCATATCACCAGCATCATCGATGCCAAACAACACTCCTAATCATCATAACAACAATAACAGTAGTAATAACAGTAATAATAACAATAACAATAATAATCAAAATCATTCCATGCCAAAGAAAAATGGTCAACTTTCTAATTCGTGTGAAATGATAGAAAACAAATTGACGATATCGAACGATGATCTTCTCGAAGCTATCGAGCAATTGTCAATGTTGTCAAAATCCAAAGAAATTTGTACCACGCCGAAAAGAAATAATTCCGAGAAAGATAACGCGAAATCGAACGAGGCTAAGGCCGATAAAGAAAGGAAGGAATTGGAAGAGGAGGATAGAAAAAAGTACATCGAATTTTTGCAAAACGAAAAACTTCATATTCTCAGTAACATGGATGCTTTGAAGAGAAGCGTTGCTGATATTGAAATTCAAGAGGAAGAAATTAGCAGAGAGGTAATTTTTCCATTAATTAAATTTATTATCAATTATGTTTTATATTTGTATTCTAAAAAATTTGATTATAATAATTATTAATAATTTAAGTTGGAATTGGAAAAGGCACTCTTATCGGCTGAATACGAATCGGAATCTTTAAAATTGACACAAGAGGAGAGTGAAAAGATAAAGGTCCAAATGAGGATCAATGAACTCGAAAGAGAAATGGCCGAGGATAATACGACCCAAGCAAAATTACAGACAGAGGCTAAGCAAAGAGTACAGAAAGCTCAACAAGCTTACGCTAGATTAGAAGAAGAATTAACGCGTTCCATGGATGAAATGAGGCAGCAGGACATTGGTGAAAAGTTGGCAGCTCAGCAGGACGTCCTTGAAACCGAGAGGAAAGCTTTCGAGGATTTAGAATTCCATCATCTGGAAGAGGAAGCGAGCAAACTTGCTACCAGAGAGGAATTGCAAAGGTTTGTAGAGATTTTTTAGTTACTTTCTACACATTTATTCTATTTACTCGTTGATTTATATTTTTTGATTAATATTTTTGCAGGTATTTGAGCGAGTTAACGTCGAGAATAGAAACGAAGAAAGCTCAATTAAATAATTTGGAGTCTCAACGATCGGAAGCCAACAATATAGCGACAAAAGATGCTAGAAGCCTTGAGAGACAAAAGTTAGGCCATTTGAAACGATTGGAAGAAGTAAGAGACAACAAATTCAAACGACATATTTTCTTTTTTTTTTTTTTTCAACAATAAAAATATTTATTTAATATATTTCTTTTGTAATTTTTAATTAGGGAAGAAATAGATTGCGAACCATCAACGATGAACTCGAAAACTTATTACAAAATTCGTGCGATAATTGCGAAGAGAAACGATCACCGAGCAGGGAAGATTTCGATAGAATCTCCAGAGTCACCATTGACTCTCCCATAGTAAATAATCAGGGCAGCTTAGGTAGAAAAACTATCGAGTCCCTCAAGGAAATTGAGAGAAATCGACAGCTTCATTTAGCGAAACAAGGTTAGTAACTGCAAACAAAAATTAAATAAAACGAATAAAATATTTGAAAAAAAAAAAAAAAACAGGTAGCCAAGTGATTTCTGAAGAAAGAAGAAGAGTCGAAGAACTCAAAAGACGCGTTCAAGACGAAGTACGTTCTCAATGGGAAGAAAGAAAAATGAATTGTGCTTCCTTTAATAGTGTCGAATCAGGTGAAGAATCTTCGAGTTATTCAACAGGCTTAACGGAAAGGTATCTATCACATTTCTCAAAACCTTCTAATCTTGATTCTAATCTTATCAAATCCTACGCTCGTATAAATCAAATTTAAGAAAGAAAAAAAAAGGAAAACTAACTCGATCATTACTCTAAATAAATTCCAACACAAATATGTTCAAAATAATGAATACGTGGAATAATATAATTAATGTAATATATCCGATATTACAAAGGACATCGATGACGCATGTTGGCTATAGTGTTTTAAACTTGTATGAAAACTTCTTAACAGAGAGGGGAGAAAGAAAGGAAAGCCATTGAAAAATCTTATTAAATATTCCACGTACGTTTTCGATCATCCGTCGTATAACGGATCTCTTCGAACTCCCAGTACCGAATTGTTTTTAGTATAACGTGAGCTCCAATCCGTGCAGGTTTTGATATTTACAAAGTGTTTCAGTATTATTCTCATTCACAGTATAAACAGTGGATCTTTAATAGATCTCAATAAAAAGATAAATAAAAAAGTAAATTAAACACATCATTAAAAAGATCAACAGATAATAACAACGTTTCTAAATAGACAAAGTTCAAGAAGTCTAAGCTAATCGCAGTCTAGAGAAGAAAACGACAGTGCTATAAAATCAAGGATTTATCTTATTCGCCTAATCTCAATATTTACATTTACCAAATACTTCTGACAAAATTTAAAAAAAAAATTAGAATTTGTTCAGAGTAAGAAGTTAAAGTGGGAAGCCTTGAAAGTTCAAATTTACGAGGAAGGAAACCGATTGTACGTTACGATCATGATGACGAGAAGCCTGATTGCTCTTAACAATCAAACGTTTTAGCGAACCTCTTAACAATCTATCTCTCTCACACTCACTCATTCACTCACACAAATGCATACGTGTATGGTTATTCTCCTAAGTCTCTTAATGTATCTGGTATAATGTATGTATATGTGTTCTGAGTGCTAGTATTGCTATTCGAAGTGGGGCGTTATCATGCGATACGATATCTCTCCTAACTCGCTGTCTTTCCACGGCTCGTCAACGTTAACATCAACGTTTTTTGATACGTCGTCGTCGTCGTCGTCGTTCTCTATTCGATCTAATATACGAAAACTAAAATCAATAATAAAATAAAGATAGCGAGACAAAAAGAGAGAGAGAGAGAGAGAAAGAAAGATAATATAACTTAGAAATCTAAAAAATGATGAGGTAGTTATATTCTGTTCGAAAATTCAATATTGATTCAAGTGTAACATACGAAGATAGTGTTTAAATTATGTCTTTATTTTTTTTTTTTTTTGTTAATCTATCATAAAAATATCTTTTTTATCACGTGATTTCTGACCGATTTTGTTTATTCGTAAGAAAGTTTACAAATTTATGTTAAAAAAATTAACAAATGTAAGTAAAGATAAGTGAAATGTTGTTTGGATCATGGCAAGTAAGATTAAGAATTTCATTAACGATGGATTACCAGTGGATTTGGTGATATAAACTTTGATGAAAAAGTGTATATGTTATTTAAAAAAAAAAAAAAAAAAAAGATAAAAAGTTTATGGATAATGTTCAAAAATGAACGGAAGAAACGTGGGTGAAACGATTATGAATGAGGCCAGACTGAGAGGGTGCAATTTAATTACTTTTCTCACGAGTAATCGTTATTATCTTGCTACCAAGGATTGGATTTGTGAAAATTGTTGTAATCCTTTGGAAACACGAACTCGTGATATTCGTCAACGTTGTCTGTAAGTTTCATAATATTTTTTATTTCTTATTATTCGTTCTAAAATAAAATATACAAAAAATATACAAAAATCATTTAAATATCTTCACTAAAATACATATTTATTTACATTGTTTTTGATTAATTTATTAAATATAGTACTATTTCAATCTTAAATTAATTTTATTCACATTTGGTGTGATTGCATAACGTGTTAGTGTATTTATAGTAATTTTTTTTTTTACTGTACTACTATAAAATTATAGGAATAACTTTTGATTAAAAAATACTCAATACGAGATATATATAAAATAAAATTAAAAAAAAAAAAAAATCAAATTAGCACCGAACACAGATATAATTTCTTTTTTCTCAAATTTTATTTACTTTTTAACATTATTTTTCAATTTCTACATAAATTATTTAATTATAATTTATACATATACATATATATATCCATTAAGCACATATATATTTGTATATGTGTAAAGTAGTCATGTTGTGTCGCATTCTTAAAATATTTCGAAAGAAATAGAAGGACGTAATATTTAAAGAGAGAGAGAGAGAGAGAGAGATAGAGAGGAGAGGGGGAGGGGAGGGAAGGGGAGAGAGTGGTAGAGTGACCTTGAAAGAAAGCGCAGAAACGAGGGAAAATCAAGGATGACGGCATAGAAGGAGATGCGAAGGAGTGCCGTTTACTTGTTCACCACTAACACATTGTACGTGGTAGAAGAAGAGAATCAAACGCTATGCCGGTGGCACTCTGTCGAACCGGTCGACCAAGCACAAGTCACTTTGTGCTTGTTAGGTTTTAATAATACCTGCCGCGACTATAGGCCTCGTCAGTAGTCTCGCCGGTCACGAGTAGAAGAGTCGTCCCAGTACGTTTTTTCCTATGCAAACCGGCTAAAGTTCACGCTAGCAGAGAGAATCGAGATACACTCTCGTCGTCGTTTATTCGTACACGTAACATCGAAGGTAAAGTCCCAATCGTTCTACCTAACACGCCAAAGAATTTTACAATTATTGTTCATTCAATTACGACAAATTTTATAACATCACCTATAACATCTGGTATGATTCACACACACACACACACACAAAACATATTTCTAATCGTTTAATATATTTGTTTATGATCAAAAAAAAAAAAAACCAATTACAATATGTCTACGCCACAATGTTTGTTGTTGACTTGGGAAAAATCAATTGGTAATGGAAGATGAATCATTGTATCATGATTTTATTTATTTTACAATTTATTTATTTATTGTTTTTTTTTTTTAATTTATAATATTTCTTACTTTCTTTTTGATTTTATTTTTTTAGTGGTAGCGGGAGTAGCGACGGAGCTGACGGGGGAACCGGTGAGAAATTATCACCGAGTAAACTTTCGGAACTCACTTCGCCAAGTCCAGGACCATCTAACAACTCTTACAGTCTGCTTCAAAATGATAACGTGAGTAAATAAATCACTCTCTCTCTCTCTCTCTCTCTCTTTTTTTTTTCTTTCTAATCTTCAATCACAACTCAACAATTCGATTTACTTGCACGTCGTTGCATTCGATCGGATAAGTTTTTTAAATAAAGGATTATTGGATTATATTTCAAGGATTAAATAAATCTATTTTCTATGTTACGATTAAAATCATTGATAAATTTCATAAAGATAAATTATATTACGAATCTAAATTTATACCTATGATATCGCGAATCAATGATATATCATTGACGTCATTTTTTCATAGACTACAAGTTTTTAAACTTATTTTTTTTTTTATTTTCTCGAAAACACGCATTTTCATTAAATCGTTTGATTCGTTAGGATACGATGATTGGAATTAATTATCGTTTTAGAAAATGTCTAACAATATAAGTTGCGTGTTTAAAATATTTGTAAAAATTCATCAAACACGATGATATATCTATCTCTCATACATTTTTACAAGGATCGAGACGTACATTAGATGCAGCTTGGAAAACTGCATCATGACCTAATTAATAGCTGTTGCTCTGCCACATTTGCTTCATTGCGTAACTGCTTTTTCGATCGTTTCTAATACGTCTTTCAATATAAAAAAAAAAAACAACATTTACGTCAAATATTTGCCATGTAATCATCATATTGTTTTACTCATTGTTTATTTGATTCTATTCAATAATTGGTGTTTATAGTTTAGTAAATGAAAATTAATCATTATTTATCATTTGTGTTTTTACATTATCATTAAATAATTCTTCGTTTTAAATAGCTAGATGTTTATTAAATTCATGATAAATTGCTAAATCGAAATGTTATTGGTGAAAGATAAATTTTAATCATGTCAGGCTTAAATTGACGAAGTTTCGATAAAGATAATAACACGATAAAACGTTTTCTGTTTTTCTTCTAATTCTTTGCATTGAAATTTGTTCGTCATTTTCATTAATTTGACATCAAATTTAAAAAATGAATATCAATTGAATTTTATCAATTATTCGAGCGAATGTAGGTACGCCAATTTTTTTGCGTACTCCCTTTTTTTTCAAAAAAAAGTTTGCCTATCGATAGGGGTGTTAAATTATGTTAAATTAGTTCAATAATATTATCACTAGATAGCGCTTACAAAAAAACCTTTTCTACATTCGCGTAAAAGTGTTGCCTATCGTTAGGAGCTTTGAAAAATTAGATACAAATTTTTGATTATAATTGTTAGTAATTTGTATTATTGTTATTATAATTAATAATTAAAGAAGATTACTAAATATTGATATTAAAAATAATTCCAAGAAAACAATGAAAAAAGAACAAAAATTGGATTACAAAATTTAAACAAATAAACTAACATATTTACAATTATTATCTGAATAAGAGAAGATAAGAAAAAAAAAAAAGAAAAGTGAGAAAGACAAATTTCGCAAGTAGTAGACATTCTAGAGCAAAACGTTTTGGTCGATTCGTGAGAAGAAGAAGAAGAAGAAGAAAAAGAAGAAACGTTGCTGCATTACACGTGTTTCCTTTAAACAAACCTTAACTAGGCCAGGGTTGTAATAACGGGGTGCTTTTCGAGCATGGATCAAACAAGGCAGGGGTAGTATTAAAGATTAAAACTTTCGGTGAAATGTAATGAGAGAAGGCTTAAACAAAAGAGAGAGAGAGAGAAAAAGAAAGTAGTTTGAGAAAAAGTAGAATTAAAAATGTCTGAGTGTCTGCTATGCTCTGGTCTACTGTACTATACTTGTAATGTACTATTTCCTGACTTTTTACAAAAGTTCAACATAAAAGCAATAATTTTGATTCGTGTTTGTGAAAAATCTTTTATAAAATAAACATTATATTTAAGATCATCGAATAAAATGGAAAGAAGAAGTAATTCGATGTACTTTTAATTCAATTTCTTTTCTATCTGATTCGCATAAAATTAAACTAATTAAAATAAATTATTCGAAATCTTTTCTTTTATCTTTATCTGTGATCAATCATTTTGTGATTGCACAACGTGTTTAAGTTTGTAGCATCTTTCATTAAACATTTGTCAATATCTTATTGTATATTTTACTACAAATTTATACAGATAAGTTTTAAGAAGAGAAAATCAAAAACATTGAATATGCAGTTATTAAAAAAAAATATATGAGATATTAAAACAATGGCATATATATATATATATATATATATATAACAGAAAATATTTAATTTTTTAAATTTAAATCAAATTTCGAATTTGAAAGGAATTTTCTCAGAGTTTCATTCGAATGGACTGGCTTTACTTGTACTATTCGTGGAATGCATTACTCTTCCCAACCCCTCTCTCTTTTTCTCTTTCTTTTTCTCTTTCTCTCTCTTTCTCTCTATTGGATGTTACGTAATAAAACAACGAGTAAATAGAATCTAGAAAACGTTTGTTTTAGATAGGAAATACTTCCTCTATTGAACAACCACATAAATAAGCTTACGTTAAATTTTGCAAGAATGATATTTGTAATATACAGAAAGATTATAGTAAGAAAGAGAGAGATAGAGAGAGAATCGAATAAAACACATATGCACACAGATACATACATACATACATATAAAAACAGAAAAAGAGGGAGGAGGGAGGAGGAGGAGGAGGAGGAGGAGGACAAATCTTTGAAACAGAAATTGTCGAGATATTTTCTGTCTCTCACAGAAACGTCAGTTTCGTTTTGTCTCTTCGAGAATCGACAACTGTTCAAATCTGTTCTAAAAATTGCTCTATACACTTGTTTTTTTTTTTCTCTTTGTTAAATTTCAATCATCCAAAAAAAAACAGAAAAAGAAAAAAATATCAAATCAAATGTCTCTCATGTGGATGAATTATATTAAAAGAGAAGTTAAAAAGAAGAAATGTATTAGAAAAAAACGCGTAAGTTAAATCATTTAAACGATTTAAAAAAAAAGAAAAATTACTTTATCATTAAGTATTAATCATTGTTTCGATTTTATTTTAATTTTTTGTTTTGTTTTGCTTTCTATTATTAAAATAATCAAATCAAATTACTCCATTATTTCTCTTTTCTTTTTGTAATTAAATTATGAAATTATATTAACGATCAATTCTATATATATATATATATTATAACGATTAATATTATTCTTATTATTATATAATTATTTTAGTTCTGTTTATTTTTTAATAACATGGAAAATATATATATATATATATATAAATACTATTAAGTATAATAATACGTAGTCAATAAAGTCTCGAGTATCGTCGAAGTTTATTAAACCAAGTTTCTGCATAAAGTGTGAGAAATGACGGAATAATAGGAGCATTTTCCATTGTATGAATCACTCAGGGCTACCTCATTAAGCAATTTTTCCTCATTGACTGCCCTTATGCGAAGTCATGCCCCCTCTTTCTCTCTCTCTTTCTCTCTCCTTTCTCTCTTTTTCTCTCATTCTCACCCGAGTACGCTTGAAACGCATTAAATACTTCTACGAACATCGTCAACGTGACTTTTTACTTGATTAAAATTTCAAATCTCATTCAACCGTTTCAATCGTTAATCAATTATTAACAAAATTCAAAAAAATAAATTATTTTTCGAATAGTAAACGTAACAACAACAACAACAACAATAACAACAAAAATAAATTAATTAATTCAAACGAATTTAAAGTCAAGCTAGTAAAAATGTCTTTTAAATTAGATTAATAAATAAATTCAAAAAAAGGTGGCACTGCTATTTGTATAATATTATTAAATAAATGAAATATTGTGTCAATCACGTTTTTTCTCATCATCATAGATCGTCATTGTTATTAAATCATTGTTTAAATTTAGAATATGTCATAGGATTTAATCGCTAAAGGATTATGAAGAAACCTCTCCTGACCTATCACACACATAGAACCAACACGTTAGAACAATATAAATACGATTAAATTTTTTGTAAATAGATGAGAGATGATAGGAGAACGTCGATGGAAGGGGAAAGGCTCAGTAACAACAGTGGTGGTATCGTTGACGGAAACGGAAGCCGACCTCTTTCACAGATCTCCAGTGAAATGGATACTATCGGTCCACTTCAACCTGTTAAACATCGTGAAAAGGCTAAACTCCAGGTAAATTAATTAATTTTTAAGATTGTTTTGTTTTTTTTTTTTTTTGATAATTAAAATCATTTAAAAAATTTACATTTACAGACCGAAGAAAAAGTATTATCAATTTATAAATTAATAAATGTTAAATCACAATAGTGAACAATAATTTTACAATTCTCGCGTTATTATCTTTATCAGCGATAAGTTAGACGCATAATACGATGATTTATAAATCTATTTTCAGAGGCCGTTAACAAGATATCTACCTATAAAATCCGAATCCTTGGATTTGAGGCATCACATTGAAACTGCCGGACATCAGTTGCAGCTGATAGATGATGTCACGGTTAATACTACCAATTGCAGTGGTTATTTGTCAAAGATGAGTAAAAAGTTTCATCACTGGAACAAACGGTGGTTCGTTTTCGATCGAAAGAGGAAAACCTTGACGTATTACAGCGATAGTAATTCGAAAAAGGCACGAGGAGTTATTTACTTTCAGGTAGGAAAGAAAAGAAAGAAAAAAAAACAATCAATCAAATATTGTTTCTTCAAAATAATAAATGTAGACGACAATGTATTAATATATGGGAATAATTTATTATTATTATTATTTAATTTTTTTCTTTTTTTTATATACAGTCAATAGAAGAGGTCTACGTGGATCACATGAACACAGTTAAATCACCACAACCATCGTTAACCTTCATCATAAAAACTTCGTCAAGATTGTATCACTTGATGGCACCTAGTCCAGAAGCTATGAGAGTTTGGGTCGATGTAGTTTTTACAGGAGCCGAAGGATATCACGAATTTGATCATGGCGTTTGAAGAAAGACAAGAAAATAAAAGACGAAACGCTTATTAACAATTAATTTGTATTTTTGAAAAAAAAGAAAAAAAAAGAGAAAAAGATCTCTTTAGTAAAAATCTCGATCCTTCGATTTGGGATAAAAAAAAAAAAAAAACTGAGAAGAAGAAAAATAGCAGCAGATATGCCTGTTGAAGATTCTATGCGACGAAATTGAGATAATTCAATTAAAAAAAAAAAAAAAAAAAAAAAAAACTAAATTATTAACAGTCGCGTGTCAATTTGTTATTTAATTAATCGATTATGAAAATTGTTAGAATTAGAGAATAAGACTTATCGAAATAATTATACGAAGTTGAATATATTGAAAATTGAAAAAAAAAAGAAAAGAATTTTAATATAAAAAAAAAAAAAAAGAAATACGAATAAGAATATTTGGAGATGATTTGTAATTTATGAGGCAACTGCCAAAAACCGAGTTTTGTAGCAGCTCATGGTGTACATGTACTTTCTAACCGATTCGATTATTATAAACAATTACTTCGCTATTGCCATAATTAGCATGAATTTAAGGATTACTAGTTTTTATGTCATCGAATAAGTTGATCTTTTATTACAACATTTCTTTCCTCATTTTTTTTATATTCGTTTATAAAATTGACTACACTTCTGAAAAGAAAAAAAAAGAAAAAAAACATTTTTACATATAAATCTCGGTGCTACAACTTATACGAATGAAAAAAATCTCTCTCTCTCTCTCTCTCTCTCTCTCAAATTTGTGCATAATCCAGTATATTTTGTATTTAACTAAATTAATATTACAATTGTTATCGTTATTATTGAAGTAAAATGTAAAAACAAAAACAAAATGGAAATGAGAGAGTAAATTACTTTGCCACTAATGCTAATGTATTTAATAAAAATAATAATAATAATAATAATGTAGGATTTAGATCACAATAAATTAGTCTGTTTAACGCGCAAGTATTACTCATTAAAAATGAATGATAATGCAAGTTATAATAGTAGTAGTAGAAGTTCGTACTATTTAAACGAAAAAAAAAAAATAAATAAATAAATAAATAAACGTTCATTAGGGTCTCGTAATTTTTTGTAGGCATTTTTAATCTAGTCTTCCAGGGTAGAATAAATACATAGGAGGATACACGCCTGTACTGACCTTTTTTTTTTCTAATTATTATTTTCTTTTTTTGTTTTTTAAAAATAAATATTCAGAATAAGGAAAATATAAACACTTTTGAGAAACGTTGTATATAATTTAGAGTATCGCTTGTGAGGTACTTAGATATATCAATCATTATTGCCCATTAATCAAAAATATCTTTCATATCATTTTAAATATTAAAATCACGAATACACGAATACTTGTTATTATATTTAATTAACATGTATCCTCTCTTTCTTTAAGTATAAATGCACAAACATACAATTTTATTTTAATCTGGTTGAGAGATTTTTCCTTTATATATTACATTTAAATATATAAAATAGATAAAAATTGTGTATTAGTTTTGTCTTGAGAACAATTTTATTATTAGTTTGCTATGAAAATTTTTGCCCTTTTTTTTTGTTTTTTCTTTTTCTTTATTCGTTTGATTTTTTTCCCCCATTTTTATTTGCCATTAGGCAAGCTGCACATAAGAAGTTTATACATGATTAATAGTGCCCTTATATATAAATATATATACATTATTAAGTAAATTAACATAATTTATCGATATTGTATTATTAAATATTGCATAATTGTATTTTTGGATATATTTAAGAATATGCGATTGTGTTCAATATTATCTAAACAATATATAAGTATTCGATCTTTTTAAAAAAAAGAAAATTTTAAAAAGTATATATGAATTCTTTTCTGTACTCAAAAAAACCTACTTGTAATTTACACCATACAAAAAAATAGAAATACAATTTAATAATAGCTGGCTATTGATTTTAATTAAGTAAATATTTTTAATATAAAATTCTACGGCAGAATAATATAAAATTTTAAGTAACAAAAAACAATCTAATAATTATTAATCTAATAACAAAAAATAACATTTTAAATCTTTATTCAAAATTATTTTTTTATAATTATTACTAACGTTGCCTATCATCAGAGGGATTCACTTTTAAAATTAATTAAATTATTCGCCGCAAGGTAGCGCTTCTAGTATCTCGAAGTACGCATGACTTAAGTTTAAATGTATACCGTTCTTAGATTAATATATTGATTAAACGAAATAAAGGGAATTACTTTAATAAGACTTAAAGAAGCTGCTAATTGGTTTGTAATTTAGTTAAATAATTGTAATAATTATTAATATCAAATAAGATTATTTATCTGTCAGATAACAAATATTTGCATAGTTGTAATTAAATTACTGATCACACATAACCTCCACATTGTTTGATTTGTACTATTTTCTTATATTAATTGCAAATAATTAAGAGAATCTGACAGTAAATATATTTCAAAAGTTTCATTTCATGCAAAGCATCTTAATATACAATAGAAAAACAGCTAACTTTGGAATCATCATTAAGAGAAAGTTCTTAATTGTAAGTATTTAGCCTTTATATCATTTACTTATATAACTGGTTTATCTTAAAAATGATATTTATATCAACTGGTCAAATGCCACGAGCTTATATAAAAAATTTTTTCAAAAAATGCTGAGCAGTATGATAGCACTTTGTTATATACTACAGGAAAATACACCAAACGTCTAACTAATTTCAACTACCATAATCAGATGCGCTGACATTTTTAGACGTCGAACAGAAGAAATGTAATCATGCTATCTAGTACTCTAAAATACTACTATTAAAAGAATCAGCAAAGTTGTTTAGTGCATCTTCTACTATAATAGAATGTGTTTTAATAATTATAGCACAAGCCTTTAAACAATGTAAAGTTTCAGTCCGTCCAATATCATTATGTATTTTCTTGTCATTGAATGCAACGTTTTAAACGTAATTGAGTCTCATTCTTTCCCAAAATTTCAATCATTTCTATTACACTTGGTCCACTCTAAAATAAGAAATATCATTCTGTTATTTATATGTAACTAAAATATGTTATATATCGTTACAAGGATAGTATTGTTGAAGGAATACCTCTAAACCACTTAGAATTTTACGCAAAGTTTTCATCAATCTAGGAAACGGAATACCGTTCTTTTCAGCAAGTTCTCTTAAATACGGTTTCAATACATCCGTCAATAAATCATTCTCATCAGTCTCCATCAACTTATCATTTAAATGTTTAATAGCATCTGCAATTATTAATAACGATAGTTAATAATTAAGTGACTTTACATATTTTGTTTATTCGATTTTCATTGTAACTTTGTACCTATACATTCAGGTGAAGTAATATCAGGAAGAGAAGTTGGTATAACCCATATAAATGCTAAATCAGTTGTTACAAGATCGCTTAACTTGTTAATCCTATTTTGCGCCCAATTCAACGTTGAAATAATATGATCTTCGTCTAATTTTAATGTCTTATTTTCGCTGAAATAATAGATATTGAAATGATTAATTAATTATCAACAAGATAACACACAGATATTTCTTCAAACAATAAATTTTGTATAATTGATGAAAAGGATACGTACCAATTTGGAAACGCTTCCTTTACTATTTTCCTTACTCTTTCGATTAAAAATTTATGATTGTTTGGATTGCTCAACAACCGTGATATTTCCAATCTATTAAGTTCTAATAATATCTCGGGTGCTAACTTTGTTGAATTTGTATTTATCCTTTTAATATCGAACTAAAAGAAATATAAAAAAAAAGGACTGCATGATATATATGAACATTAAAGTATAAAATATTTTAATAAAATAAATAAGAAAATTTTAACATACTCACTTTTTTAATCAAATGTTCATAAGTGTATATTTCTGGAGTATCTGGATTTCTCATAAAACCACCACCGGCATGAGTAACATAATTTAATAACGCCAATGGAAAAATATTGGAATTCCGGAATGAATCAACTCTTATTCCATCTTGCCGTTTGGATAACTTTGAACCATCACTATTTAGTATTAAAGGTAAATGACCGTAAACAGGTGGTACCCAACCAAATGCTCTAAAACGAAACAAAATATCATTTAATTAATTGATCATCTTATTGTATATTTAATATCTTGTGTATAAGTATCATCTTACTTATAAAGCATTAAATGTTTAGGTGTTGATATTTGCCACTCAACACCTCTCAAAACGTGAGAAATGTTCATGTAATGATCATCGACAACGTTTGCAAAATGATAAGTAGGAAAACCATCAGATTTCATAATTATAGGGTCTCCTTCGACCTTTGAAATATCGTGAGCTACATGACCATAAATCAGATCATCGAATGCTTCTATGTTTGGGGATAGCTGAATAATAATTACAGAAAGTAAATACAATTTCATTAAATAATAAGAAATTATACAATCATCTTAAATAATCACCTTAAATCTAATACAATATGGTACGCCATTTCTCAATTTCTCTTTGACCTCTTCTTCAGTAGAATGTCTACATTTATTATCATATTTAGGTACATGACCATTTTTAATAGCTTCTCGTCTTAACAAATTCAATCTATTCTCTGTGCAAAAACAATAGTAAGCAGTCTTATTGTGAAGAAGTTTTTGTATATTTTCTCTGAAATTAATATGATCAGAAATAATATTGATATAGATAAGAATTGCAATATTTGTTAGTATTTTTTGATCATGAAGCATCGCACTTGTATATTTCAAGACGTTTAGATTGAAGGTAAGGACCATAGGGGCCACCTCTCATAGGATCTTCATCGGATATAATTCCAACCCATATCAAGTCATCTTGTAATTTTTCCATCGCACCAGGTATTGTTCTAGATTGATCAGTATCCTCGATTCGTAGAATGAACGTGCCATTTTTAGCACGAGCAAATAAATAATTATACAGCGCAGTGCGTAAGCCTCCCAAATGTAAATATCCTATTAGGAATATAATACATCATTAGATTATACTTAATTACACATTTATTTATATGAGTGATTATAACGCAAACAATCTTTTAAATCAAATGAAATATATCCTACAATAAATATATTTAGCCGTGTTATGACTGTAGAAAAATTCTAATATATAAAAAACAAAAAAAAAATAAGCTAACCTAATATCAATAATTAAATTATCTCTGTTATTTTCTTGTTAATTATTTGCAAGAAGTAGACAAAAATATATATATATACCAGTAGGACTCGGTGCAAATCTCACTCTCACTTGTTCGGAACAATAACGTTTTTGTAAAAACAAAAAGTTAACAATTCGAAGTATACCGCCACGCATTTTCTTAAGGCTGTTCGTCTATTTTTCAAAACATATGTAACTTAACCTTTTCACTACAGCATGCTTTGGGTCGGATTATATCGTTCGCGTGTACTACAGGAGGACTTGCATAAGTATCGTTTCATATAAATACGCTCGTAAATGTGAGCGTTTACATTATACGGTCCCTATATGGGTCAGCTGTTTGTCCGGGATCTTTAAATGGACGATCCATATATGAATCGTTAGTAACGAAAAGGTTAAGAAACAAATGTCATATGTTAAGGACAAAATATGAACTACCCAGTACATTTTCGTGCATCATTTAACAAAAATAATGAGTGTTTAAACTACAATGGCGTTTTTATTTCATATTTTGTTTAGTTGTTGAAATAAGTGAAAAAAAAATAAATAACCTTAAAGAAAATATGATTTCTCTTCATATCAAATAAAATTAAGAACAAATTTTATTATTTTAATTATTTTTAATATAAAAATTAAATAGTTATTTATTTGAAATGTACAAATGCATTTACAAGAGAATGTGGTTGACTAATACATTGCATTTGATTGCGTTAAAATCAACCAATCAGCGTTTATTTTGTTCGCGGGCTTTTTCGTGATTTTCAAATATTTCGTGTTTTAACGTTGTTGTTCACGTCGGTTTTATTATGTAATTATTGTGAATTAGTATATCTTCGAACTGTTAAGAGATCATTATTAAATATTTTTAATAAATAAATATAATATAAATAATATAAAATGTAATTGTGAGTTTCCCTCAGTAATAAGTATGTAGTAACCTGCACTTTATGAAACCTAGGTCGATGTTACTTTCGTTGTATGAAATTTAATTGTAAATAACGAAAGTACTATCGAGCGAATTGACTATATTTTTGTTTTATTAAAACGTCATGTAATTAAATAATAAACATCAATTTGAAAACAAGAAAGAAAAAAACTTAATGACACTCACAATTATTTTATTTGTTTTCTTCATGTTTTGATCATATTTACATACAAATATAAATTATAAGATCGTTTCGATTTAGAATTTGTGAACATCCAATACCATTGCCATTTCTTAATGTAGTTATTTGTATCCTTTGTTAAAATTCTGAATCTCCGATAAATAGATTAAAGCATGCATTCTCAGTCGAATATTATTATTATTATTATTAATGTCCCATTTTCAAGAGGCTTCCGGTTGAATTTGACTTTTCAAACATATAGGTGTTAATTCATCCAGTCTACGATCTAAGAAGTTAACACAATTTGTTAACTGAGTTACCATTGTTTCTACTGTACGCATATGAGAAGAAGTCATATTAGGTAAAAATGATTCTACCATCATCACCTGCAAGTACATACTATTATTTATCTCTATTAACAACACTTAAGAAAACTTATAATTTAAAGTGATCAAACATTAACTCATCCTTACCCGTTTCTCTAAATTGGCAAGTTTAGACTTGAAAGCATCTAAATAACCAGGCGGCAGGCTCCGTTCTTCTACAGGACCTGAATTTATAAAAGGAAGTTAAAAATTAATACAAACGCATGCTTATATTTGTATTCGTTAAGTATACCAGTATTAATACTATGACTTACAAAATTGATGTACGCCAACAACGTCAATGATAAAAGGCCTGTAAACCATGAATTGTTCTCTCAGAAAATGAACATATTGTACATTTCTGATCTATTTAACGTTATATCATTAATCTAATTTTTGATAAACCATCAATTTATTATACTTGTCTTTTTGGGATCCTCTGAGCAACGAAGACAATGGTATTAAATGATTATCATGTCTTCTAATTTTTAATACTTTGCTATTGTCCTTTTCTATACCGACCCAGTAATAAATAGATATTCTTAATTCGTCTAACGTTATTCCAGGTACAACAGTAAAACAGTTCAATGTTGTTTTTAATGTATCATTTTCTGATTCTATAAACAAAAACCGTAACATATTGATTAATATAAACATCAATATTTGATTCAATAAATATAAAGAATTAATTAAAGAATGTAGATAATTTATTAGATATAAAAAATATTCATTGTTCCATGTCTCTTAACCTTTCTTCTTTAGAAAACATATGTTTGCACTGTTGTCTATTACACACATATACAATAACATATATATATATAATCTTAAAACTTACCAATTTGATCGTACCTACGTATTAATATCCACATATTTATTTCACTCACACCCATTTTATCTTGAAAAATATAATAATAAAATAATGCAATGTTGACAATGTTATGTTATATCAACTAATTGAATTTATCAGATAGTTCAATCAATTAATTAATAGATTTGTAATTGAAAATATTTACAATACTTAATATGAATTTGTTGTAATATATAGAAAAATACTTGTATATAATAATTATCTTTAAAACTACTTTGAACTAATAACAACATGTAGCAAAATGTTTCAAGAATGGAAACTAACTTCTAGTTTTTATCTAATCTACATGGGAAATAATTTTCTTTTGTGCCGCATCGCGTATACGAGAGATAAACGAGAATCATTTTTTGTGAAGCAAAATGCGTTAAAAATTTCGAAATTATAGAAATTTATTTATATTTTTCGTTTATTTACGTAACACCTTTTATATACTTTTCTTGAATATTTTACGAATTATTTTGCAATTTTGATTTATCGTCATATCTTGTCATCCATTATAATCTTCAAATTAAAATAACTATATCTTTTGTAAAAGCACTTAGAATTTGGATAAAAAGAATTCAATAAGTCGTCGTCAGATTAGATTAATTATGAAAGTAATTAATTATGGTTGATTCTTCATATTTAAATTGTCGTTTCTTATTATTAAAGTAAAATATTTTATGTGTCATTATAGTGATGATTAAAATTGACTTTTTTTTTTTCAATAATTCTTAATTAAGACATTCTTTTTAAGGTCAAATGTTGAATATTATCATGAAATTTTGTGCGTTAATTCATGATTTTTTTCTTCATTTGACCTTACCTGTAGCATCTAGCTTGACTGATTCATTCTCATGAACCGAAAAAACCCTTTGCACTCTTTCTATATATTCTTCCATTTGTATTAAATAACGACGAAATAAACACTTAAGCGTCTAACGCAAATTCTTCAATGAATAGTAATGGATTAGAATCGCATTTACTTAAAATTTGTTCAATCAAATATGGTGAAGCCATACTTTGTGCAATTCATTTTAGAATTTAAAATAAGTCATCTCTATTTATTGATTTTTATTAAAATATTTCAAATGTAGTAATGTTTTTATTATATAAACATTTATTATATTAAATTTTTTGAAAAGAATTGTTATTGTTATTTGTATGATTCAAGCGAGCCATTGAAATCTTTCGCTAATTGCGCGCCATATTTGATTTACTTTTTATCTCTTATCATCGTAATGATTGTACATAGAATCTAAAGAAAATTGGAATTAAAAATACGATGAACAATAAAAATAAAACCTAACGATAGTATTTCCAATAGATTAAATTACATTTTATTTCAATATTATTTCATTTAAATCCAATTTCAATTATTTTGTTATGACAAGTAAAATGAATTGTATTTTTTCATATATTTTAAAATTTATTTATATATATTTTAATTGTCGGAATTTTCGAAATATGTTTGTAAAATATATTCAAAAAATTATATTCGGACATATTTTATTCAATTTTTCAATAAGAATTAAGTAAAATATGTAGCTATGAAACAAGTGAATCGAAGGTGGTTATGGGTCATGTGTGCTAAAATGACGTCAGAGAAAATGGACGTGTCTTCAGCCACTTCCGAATTCGAGCGTCGACTAATATCCGGCCACGTTAAAATAGATTATTTGAAGTAAATTTTAGTCTGTGGCTTGACTTTACCTTAAAACTGATATAATTAAATGAAACAATTGTAGTTTTAAGTTATAATTGTGTGTGTAAATGTGCGTTTAATATTAATTGGATTTAATAAATGAAACGGAGAATGGATTACTGGTCAACATGGATGCTTATTGTTACAATGTTATTTCACACTATTTTACTTACGGGTGGTGTCGAATTAAGCTTCGAATTGCCTGATAATGCTAAGGAATGCTTTTATCAAGAAATCGAAAAGAATGTTACGTCTACCATTGAATTTCAGGTATGATGTTTGTAATTGTTATAAATATAAAGTTTTGTTTTATTGAAATTGTCATATATATGTAAATACGTGCATCTAAAATTACGTAAGTTAAATCAACATCTAATAATATGTCAATTAATTTATTTACTTGATACAGTATTCATATTTATAAGTTCTATTCTGACACAATATTGATTTCTGTGCATTTTCTACCGAATCAGGTGGTAACTGGAGGTCAATATGATGTTGATGTTACATTGGAAGCTCCGAATAAAGAAATTATTTATAAGCAAGTGAAAACGCAGTTTGACTCTCATGTTTTTACGCCGACTATATCAGGGGTATATAAAGTATGCTTCAGCAATGAGTTTTCTACGTTCTCTCACAAGCTTGTATATATGGATTTTCAAGTCGGCCAGGAAGATCAACTTCCTGGTCTTGAAGACCATGTCACCGTTATGACACAAGTAAATAGAACAATGGTGTTTGGATTATTTAGATAAATATGATGTAAGATAATTGATTTTGTTATTATTCTTTCTAGATGGAATCATCTGCGCAAGCTGTGCACGAAAGTTTAAATAGTATTCTCGATTATCAAACACATCATCGATTGAGAGAAGCTCAGGGTCGCAAACGAGCAGAAGATTTGAATGAACGGGTCTTATGGTGGTCTGTGATGGAGACTATTGCAATTGTTGTTATCTCTGTAGGACAAGTGTTCATTCTCAAGAACTTCTTCACGGAAAGGAGACCTTACCAAAGGCTTTAGCATAATGTAAGAAATTTTGGTTACTTGTGGCTGAAATAAAAAAAAAAGGCAACATATCCATCTAAATAATCTGGTCAGTGGTGATACACATACGCAATTGAGAACTTTTGGATGTTGTCTAATGGTTATTAGTGGAATACAGATATTGCGTTATGTATGTCTTTTCTATGTCTATGCCTAAGTTAAGAACTTGAGGCAAGACTAAGAAAAGAATGCAGCGCATTAAAGATATATGTTTCTTTTTTTTTTGTTTTTGTTTTTTTTTTGTATATTTTGAAGGAAGTCTGCGCTACGAGAGAATCGTGTTTCCTCTCGGCATATTAATTTATAAAATAATGGAACATTCTCTCGCGAGTGTTGTTAGAACTACGAGCTATCAATGAAAAAGGTGCAAGTGTTTGCGATGCCATACATTTAAGCACTTTAAACTCCTAAGTTGTAGAGTTATACTAACATAAGCGGTACAAGAGACACTGACGCACTCTGTCAAGTTTTTCTTACTGTGAATGTGTAAAATAATAAATTACAATGTTTGGGCGTGAATTTTTCTTGTACAAATATAAACCTTTTACCTTTGTGAGGTTCATTATAATAGATATATACGCATATATAAAAAGATAATAACAGAGAATACAAATTTAGTTATTAATTTATTGATATCTATCCTGTAATTTGTACAAGGCTTGTTTCTTTATGTTTTCTTTTTTAACAAAATACTCATAAACGAATAATACTAATAAGATAAAGTAAGTGTGTCAAGGTATCAGCAGTCTAATTAAAGTAGATGATTCATCGCATGGATTTGGTTAACCGCAAAAAGGATAAGTGCCTAAGAATTAAAAAATAAAATATAAATGTAGAATAGCATATAATTAAAAGAAACCATAACACAACTAACCAACGAGAACAAGATAGAATGGTGGTGGACTGTATAGAACAGGCGGAGTTGATAAAACATTGTGTGCTTCATATTGTAATCCACCAAATCTGACAGAGGTAGTAATTTTAGTTTTTACCTTAGAAGGCATATTAAATTTTGACTCGCATTGAATCCATGGAGAATTTTGTCGCCAAATGGTACACGGGGAGTATGGGGAACATGAAGTGCATAATATGCATGTTGAACTACGTACATAAGAAAAAAAAGACAAATTTTAATAAAAAAAAACGAATAGATTCTTATTGCAAAACATAACAATTGTCATTGTCTTGACACGGTATCGGTATTTTTATTTATTTATTTATTTTACAAATTCACATAAGTATTATTTTTATAAAGAGAGTAAAACAAGAAATTTCTTGTTTAAAAACGATTAAAACAATTTATAAACAAATATAAAGAATATTTCTCTACAAAACGAGTAACTTAAGGAAATATTATTTGGAGATTGTTAATACAAGCAAGGAGCTTAAAGTAATTGATGTATAAATTTGTACTTATATACATAATTTTGTAAATATTTTACCTTTTATTTATATCGTAAAATTCTTTATTCTATTTGCGTTTAAATAGAATACATTTCATGAAATTTTCTGTACGTCGATAACAGTGATGTGTTATGGCTTCGCGGGGCCCCTAGGATATTTAATTTAGTGGCTCCATTTTATAGCGTTGAATTTTTCTTTTGATCCATAATTTTTTTTTACTACAAAAATAAATTTGAGTTAATAGAATATTGATTTAAGAATTTTGGGCCCTTTATTGATAGGTGCCCCAGGCAATTGCTCTTTTTGTCTAAGGATAATACGCCACTGGTCGATACGATTTAAATGTGTGTGAATAGAGTTGGTGTGGGTGGGTAGGTAGGTTGTTAATCTAGTCTTGATCCGCATTGATAGGGGCGGATAAAAGTCTTGAACGGCCCTGTCTATGTATATACATATATACAGACATGTATACTCTTTCGTAACTTTGTAGGAAAGAATGCGCTTGAAATTCGAAAGAAGCAGGTCTTCTTTGTATGTAAGTATAACGTATGTATTCATGTACATGGACTTTGTAAATGGGTTATTTATTTTGAGCTCCATACACGCCAAGTTTTCAATGGGTTTCTTCAATATTTCTTTACTTCGTGTTTTTAAATTCTACGAAAATACGTGTTACTTTTTGTTTTCTATATCGTCGAAGAATCTTAATCTCTTTAAAAACGATTTATTTTCAGTAACAAAGATAAAAATCTAATTCATAAATATATTGTATATTTAAATTTGAAATTAATAATAATTAAAAAGAGAAACAAGTTTACAAAAGTATGTCGAATGAATGACAAAAAACAAAAATTTAACTTTCTCCCCAAAATCAAACATGCATATCTACGTTCCTGAAGAGATTAAGGAACTTTGATTTATTACATTTAAATCATAATAAACGTCGATATCGTTATCGTTATTCACAAACGTATATGTTGTATGAACGGAAAGGGAAAGTTCGTAAATTCTATCCTATGTGTTTCTTTTTTATTTTATTTTATTTTATTTTTTTCATCTTTGAAAAAAAACCCAGCACAAAATACAAGTGCGTTAAAGTGCACTAGTAACACGAAAGTAGCAGGGGTAGGGTATAAATTGTAATAGGGACGATGGTGTGTGGTGGTGATTACGGTGGGGGTAAAATTGGAAGGAGAGAAGAGATGATATTGTGCGCGCGCAGTTTTGTCACGAGGTGGGGAGAAGGTCGCGCGCGGGAATAGCTGTCGTAAGTGGGAGAGAGAGTTAGAGTGGTTGGTAGGGAGAGGGGTATCGCGAGTTCGCACGTAACGTGTTCGCACGAGTTTTCAAACGGCAACGTTAGGAAGAAGATCACTATTGACTACTCTTCCCTTGTCTTCTTTTCGTTGCTATCCACAGTTTACGTGTTATTTTATTATTTATCCATTCTCTTTTCATTATATTTTTTTGTATTTTATTTTAGACTATCGATCAACACAAATCTTTTGATCAATGACTAACGTGCATCGTGTAGTGAGGACTTTAGTGAAATTAGAAAAATAAAAATCAAAAAAAGTGATTTTTTTATTAGTTATCGTCATTCGTTGTCATCTTTAGGTGGACATCGTTCGAGAATACAGGTTTCGATAAAAGTAAGATTTAGTTTTTATATTATTATTATTATTCGATTAATTTTTAGATACAATTGTACCGTCCTGATTGTTTTGTTCATTTTGATTAATTGATTTGGTTTGTGTATTATTGTAAGTGCAAATTAATACTAAAAAAAAATAATGAAGAAGAATGGATATTTCGTTAGTTTTCAATTATTTGAAAAATCTATCATGGCGAATTAAAAACGCGCCAAATATTATATGCACACACAATGAATGCGTATAAGAAAACAAAAGAAGATCGCACGTTATGAAACAAAGATGGTCGACCCATTCTTTGATGCATTCACTTGTAGGTATACTATTAAATATTAATTAATACAAGTTTCTTCTTCGTATATTTGCTTTAAAAAAAAAATGTCATACCTTAAGTAAGGAAGATTTACGTTCATTGACCTTTGGACTCGTCTAATTTAAATTTATACTTGTATTATAGGAAATCCATTTATATCAGTCGATCCAATAATTGATCGACACTTTATGCGATTATTTAATTTCAAACCGATGTATACACAAACATAAATAAATATTGTTTTTAGATTCGAATTAAATTAGATGGATAAATATATTTGTATATATATATATATATATTAATATAATGGATTGTAGAAATTGTTAGGAATTTTTGAAATTATATTAATTTTATTTCCTTAAGTTTTAGAAGTTGAATCATTTATTTGAAATTTGTAATAATGCAATTTACATTTGATTTAACAAAATAGATTAAATATCATTTAATATAAATTATGAAAAATTAATATATTTAATTCTCCATGTTTACTTTTAAATTTATTCTTTTTTTTTTTATTTATCTTAACAATAAAACTGAATTAAACAATAGAAGGAAAATACAAAGCTAATATATAAAATAAATAAAAACAGTATTATACTAATGTTTATTTATATTTTTACATAAACTTAAAGGAAAGTTATATAAAATTAAATTATAATACTATAGTTTATAAATAAACTTTATTATTACTTATTAAAATATTAATTGTAAAACTTAACCAAAGTGGAATGTAGAGTTTTAAAATTCGTTTAAACGTTCCTACTTTTTCTTATTTTTTAAAAACTATATTCCTTAAACCTTATATTGTTTCTGCAGTCCCTTCTTGGATTAGCAAATATTCTAATGAAGACTTAAAGATTTCATTTTATCAATGTTATTTATCAGACGTTCTAAGGTATCTAATTCTCTCTGTGACACAGAGTTTATACTTTCGATTATTTAAGTCCAACTAATATTTACATCCGATAAGATTTTCGATTTTTTTTGTTTTTTTTTTTTGTTTAGATTAGATTAGCATAGTATTTATTATTTATTTTTGTTGTGATTTATTCTACGTAAATGCAATTTCCAAGGAGTTACTATAAATATGAATACAGAACAGTCCTTAACGTGAAATCTGAATTAAGATATTAGTTGGAATGATAATTATAACGTTTTTTTTTTTTTTATTAACGACACTAGCATTGGTCTCTTTTCTAAATAAAAAATACGTTCAAAATAATATTTAAAGAACGGACGAGTAAGGAAACGATCATTGCCTTTTTTTTTTTAATGTATTTATATGTTAATTTTTTTTCTTTTCTAGGAAAGATTTATTCAAGTACGATTATTGAACTTTATTGTTCCTTCTTGGATAGTAAGATATCATAAACTTAGATCGTCTTTCAATACTTATTATCATTCGCATGAATAACTTCGCATATCCAATGAAATATCCTTTATCATTTTTTTTTTTTTTGTTCAGTTTTGTAAGTTGAGTTGATATGTATATATCATAGCATTCATTAATTACATTATTTTACTTTCCAAAATAATATTGTTAGCAAATAGGATCTCTGATATGATGTGTACGTAACGATGATGTTTATTGCATATACATTTTAATTAATTCAGATAAAATAATTAACAATATGATGTAACAAATTCAAACTAATTAACATTGCAAATGTAATTGTTGATCCATTTGTTATTATAGAAATTGTTAGAGATTATGTATGCAATTGTAACATTGTCATATAAATGAATGTAGAGTTAAATTTATCTGAAATTATTTATAAATGGAATAAAATTGAATAAATATATATATATATATATATATTTAAAAATAGAAATAATATAATTCATTCGAATAATTATATTCGTCATACATATATACATACATGTGTACGTACATGCAAATGTAAAATATAAGTATATATACATTTAAATATATATATTCTTAGAACACGTTTCTGGCATAAATTCGCAATGTTCGAGTACAGGCAAATTGTAGTTTGGCTTCTTCCTATTGCACGTGAAACGCAACGCTCTTACGATCGATCTTAACGTCCAAGAAACAACTTGGTTTCTCATCGTTGTGTCGACATCGGACGACTACGACGACGACGACGACGACGACGACGAGGACGACGAGAACGGGTCGATGGCCCGTGGAAATATAATTATATGTATACCACACACGCCAATGACGAATACAATAAGTCAATAACTTGAATATGTTTGTATTATAGATCATAGAAATAATTAGAAACTTTGATAATTTATATTTAATTTTAATATACAAAATAATATATGTATTGTTCTATTTCTCTAATTATTTTTTATCATATTTATACATGTGCGTCGTGTGCGTGTGTGTA